TTGATGCTTATTTGATCCGAATATTTATGGAGGTGGGTCTGACATATCACACCACTTGAAGAACCATTTCGCAGTTGCAATGTTTTGAAATTTTTATAACCATTTTCGAAATAGAAATCTCGCTTGACACTTGAAGGCCATCACATCAGCAAACAATTGTCAGATATCTTTGCTACATTTTTTTTATTGACAACTCTTATGCAGTTGACACATAATAATCTCTTCATCTCAAATTTCTCGCAACTACAACTTATATTAAACTTTATTTTGTTAAAAGTAACTATTCAATACTTATTTGTTCTTTTATTATCCAAATTTTTAATGTAATATTTCGAAGGATTTCTTTCTAATTCTTCTACTGCGAGCCCACCGACACAATTGTTGACCTCACTTTTGGGTGAGGATTTTGGGTCTTTCCTTTAGTGACTATGATCTAGCTTTATGTCTTTCCTAATGTCTATCTTAGCATCTTGAAATAGTACCCACCTTTTTCTTAGACATTTCAACCAAATCTTTGTTCTCTATGTTGGTTCATTATGTGATTAATAATCTTTAATACAAAGATTAGAAATTACATTAGGGAACCCTGATAAGAAGTTTTATAGGACTTATGGACCATAGTAAATTTTGACACTGTTCTATACATTTTTGGACTTCAATACAATGCATTGTCATTCATAATCATCATAAACATTACATTTTTATATAACAATGTTGCAATCATTACACTCATTGGGTTGACCAAAATTATTTGAACTCAGTTTCCCTTAAAATACCCCACTTGAATATTCTAATTCTTCAAAATTCCCCAAAAACTTCCATTGAATCACAAAACCCACTTCAAACCATTTGATATTATCATTTAGATCATTTGAAACCCAAAAATTGCAAAAATACCAAATTTTCCCAAAAATTACTAAAATACGTCTGACACCCCAAAATTCCAAGGTTGGTCCAAGTCTCTCAATTTTATTCAAAAATCACCTCAAACCATTTCATATCACCCAAATTACCCAAAAAAACTCCAAAATTTTCATATTTACCGAAATACCCCAAAATTTATCAAAATTACAAAAATACCCTTTGTGGCCCAAAATTCTCAAAACCTCTAAAATCAATTCAAACACCCCTAAAATTAATTCTTGACCATCAATTGGGGCTAACTTGACTAAATTGACACATTTTGACCAAAATCTCAATTTTGCCCCTAAGTATATAAAGTCTCCAAATCGCCCCAATTTGCCCTCCAATTGATCTCAAATTTCCTCATCACGATCAATTTCCAAAACGATCGATCGCGAACCAAAATTTTGACGAAATTAAATTTGACGCATTTTTGTTCTCGATCGCCGAAAAAGTTGTTCGAACGACCCTGGATGACGAAACAGACGACGCAAATGTGTCTGGAACGTTGATTTCACCTAGGGAGGACATTCATTTTATCGCGAAAAAATACGCAGAGAGATTTGAAAAATAATAATAATAATATTATTATTATATAAGACTAAAAAATAAAGAAATAAAAAAAATATAGACACATGCGTTCCTCTCTCTCTCTCTCTTTATTTTAAGAAGCCAACAAAAAAAAATCTCTTATCTATTCTCTCTAAAATTTGCGTACATAAGACGTACGCAGAGCTACATACGTCTGTATTCTGCAAACAAGTTATAGGGAGGATTTTAAGAGGTTGTAACTGCGTTATACCCCCTGTAACCTCCATGTAACCTACATGTACCTTCTAGTAAGTTTCGCGGTTCTGTTTTGATATACAGGTAGGTTACAGGGAGGTTACAGGGGATATAACGCGGTTATAACCTATTGAAATCCCCTGTAACCTGTTTGCATGTTACAGATATACGCAGCTCTGCGTACGTCTTATGTACGCAAATTTTTTCCCTCTCGCACGCCTCACTCTCTCTATTTCTCTCTCTCATTCTCTTGTATAACAACCCAATTCCTTCTCTCCACATCTCACGATTTTGGAGCCTTTCCACTTTATCCAAAAGCATTCAACTCACCCAGCTCTTCCAAGCCATCACCTTGCCGTGAACTCCCTACTCTTCTCCAAATCTAAGCAAACACCCCCATTCCATCTCCTCCATCCAAGCAGATTCCGACGAGCCTCATTTCCTCTCCTTTCTTTTTCTTCTTCCTCCGGTGAACTTCTAACCCGACGCAAAAATCATGTCAAATCGATGCCGCAAGTACTTGGATACACTCAAGAAGCCTACTTATTCAAACATAATTGAGGGCAAACCTTTTAGGCTCAAATATATCTCTTAAATCGAAATGATAATCACAAATTATCCTCCATTTAATATCAAAAAATAGATCACAAAACACCCAAGTGTTTGTATGGATGTGATCTACTCTTCGAGCTGAACAAAACGAGTCAAAGAATGTGAAATTTGGTTGAGAATCGGAGGAGAATGAAGCATGGGAAGTTTCGGCTGTCGGTTTACTCTCTACAATGAGGTCCTATAGCAATTGTTTATTTAGTTTATTTTTTTTAATTCTTAAAAATTAAGGTAGAAAACTCAAAAAAATAAACCGAAAGATGCTATGAACTCAGGGAAAGAAGAAATTTTTCTTAAAATTGAATCACAATTTTTCAGCAATTAAATATTTTTAAATTAGTTTTTGAAGTTCTGGAATATTTAAATCATAAAAATTAAAATATAAATGGAAAAAATATAAAATTTGGCAGATATATTAAGTGACTTGGAAACAATCTTCTATGATTTTTCCAAGTCATTTTGATTCCTCTGTAGGGAGAGTTCTTTCTTTAAAGAAATGAGTCATTTTAAATAATTAAGAAAAAATAAAAAATGTAGAATTACCAATCCCCCCTGATTTTGTTCTTTTAGTATAAACATATATTGAACACCTTAAAATCATGTTTAAAACCATTTTAATAATCATAATTCACTAATTAGGGGAGTAGGTTTGAGTTAGGTTTGGTTAGCCTAACTCGAGCTCAAGTGAAGCCTAAAGTTAAGCCTAGTATAGCCTATTTAGGGTTCATGTCGGTCTCCTAACATCAATGTGACTGATCTGAATTCTTTCCCGTAGGGTTATCCCAATTTAAACCCAATTCTTGGTTAGCCAACTTCAGTGTTTGATTACTTAGTCACTAAACCTAATGTAGATAAGCCCAAACCTTAGAATTAATCATCCTGAACTAATAAGATTAGTTAACCTAAACCTTAGATTAGTTAACCCTAAACCAATATGATTAGTTAACCTAAGCCTTAGGTAATCAACCCTAACCCATAGGATTAGCTAAGCCTAAGCCCTAAGTTAGTTAACCCTAATCCTTAGGATTAACTAAGCCTAAGCCCTAATTTAGTTAACCTTAATCCATAAGATTAGCTAAGCCTAAACCCTAAGTTAGTTAACCCTAATCCATAGGATTAGCTAAGCCTAAGTCCTAGGTTAGTTAACCTTATAGGATTAGCTAAGCTTAAACCCTAGGCTAGTTAACCCTAAACCAATAGGATTATTTAGCCTAGGTTAGTTAATCTTAAACCAATAGGATTAATTAACCTAAACCTTAGGTCAATTAACTCGAAACCAATAGGATTATCTAACCTAAATCTTAAGTTAGTTAACCCCAAACCAATATGATTAGTCAACCAAAACCTTAAGTTAGTTAACCCTAAACCAATATGATTAGCCCTAAACCAATATGATTAGTCCCTAAACCAATATGATTAGTTAACTTAAACCTTAGGTTAGTTAACCTTAAACCAATAAGATTAGTTAACCTAAGCCCTAGGTTACTTAACCTTAAATCAATAGGATTAATTAACCTAAACCTTAAGTTAGTTAACCATAATCAAACTCTAATCTTTAGGTAAAACAAACTTGATCATAGCTTAGCCTTAAGCTAAACCTACCATAGGCCTTAAGTCAAAACCTAACCCATAGGTTGAACATAATAAATCTTTTTTATGTGTAATCTTAAACCTAAGTTAAACCTAAACCCCTCAACTTGAAATTTAATTAAGAAATAAAATAAAACACAATTGGATGGGTAAAATTTACATAAAACATATTCAAACTTAAACTTAAATCAAACCAAATGCAAGCATGGCTTTGAGGTTAAATCAGCTTCAAAGTCTTCAACTTCACATAAGTAATAAAAAGTGAACAAAAATAACTAATATAAAACACTTAAAATCTGACAACGAGATGTAAACAACCTAAAACATTTCAACCATAAAATCAATAAAGTAACTTAATGATCAATTAAATCTTAATCACAAAGATCACAAAATGCAACTTTAACCCCTTTTGTTCTAGTTCACGAAGATTTTTTGGATGATGCATTCTGTGGAAGTTAACAAGAATCTTCCGGTCCTGGTTTAGTAATGGTTGTTGGAGAGATAAATTTATCTTTGATGGAGTCATTAGAAAATTGTGAGCCATAAAAGCATTAAGTAATCCAATCCTTCAAACTCTTTCTGGGACTCTTGCAGCATGAATTTTTTAAAAGTAGTTGTCTGTTCAATTATGATTAAGAAAGTGATACGAATAAGATTGAATGTCAAAATAGTCTTTGACCAATGAATGAGTTTGTTTTAGTCCTAGAGTTTATGTAAGTGCTAAAATATTCCAAAATTATTTTAAAATTTAGATCTGATAGTTTTCGATGGGGATTATATTAACCCCATTTTAAAAAGTCTGCTTTATGACAATTATAATCTTTCAATAACTTATAGGATTAAAACAACAGTATGTAAGTTTTCAGACACTATTTTTACACTTTAATAAGATTTGATGACCATAATTCAATTATTATTCAAGAAAAATTAAAGACTTATTTTTTAATTCAATTTAATTACATCGAAACAATCTTTAGTTTACATACAATTTCTTTATTTAATTAATGATTATTTAAAATATATTCATTTATGATTTATATGATCTTAATTGTTTTTTAATGGCTAATTTGTGACTACAAATCCAAAATATAAAATTAATTGTTCATCAGCAAATGTATGACAAGCTGCGACCTTCTCTTTTTGGCTCATCGCCAACTCTGAGAAAGATCTTTCTTGCTCGAATCCTCAGCTCCGTCTTCTTCTCTCCATCCCATGCCTCGACCCGTGGACAAGTTTTCGCTTCTTCTCCTACTCTTTCCTCTCATCTGCTGTCATTCGTCCCAACTCGTCAATCCCTCCAAAGCTAAGCAGATCTCGTCAACGCCCAGGTTCAGTCCATCTCTTCCCTCCCCTCCTCTCTCTTTTGTCTGGTCTATTTTCTCAAATTTCTCCTTTTGCAGAGCATTCGTCTACCAAGGCTTTTTGACGGATAAAGAATGCGATCATCTGATATCCATTGTGAGTTTGATCTTCTTATTTCATTGTGATTTGGAAAGTGGGTTCGATTACATGGCTGCATCTTCAAATTTTCCGGCTTCTCACTTCTACCTATCAACACGTATAGGCGAAATCAGAGCTGAAGAGGTCGGCGGTGGCAGATAACGTGTCAGGAAAGAGCACGCTTAGTGATGTCCGAACTAGCTCTGGGACGTTCATCAGCAAGGGCATGGTTTGTTTTGTGTTGCTTTTGCTAATCAAAATCTAATTCCGAGCATATTTAAGGGGAGATCCTATCTTTGCCAAACAATTTCCCAGATTTTAATCTGCTATTAGGCTACAAATAGGATTTGGTATATCCTATAAATTGAGATTTAGTAAATATTGAGAGGATTACAAATTTGAAAACTTTCTGGATTCAACAATATTTAGATGTAACTCATAATGATGTTGAAATTTGATTTAACAATACATTTGAATTTATAATCCCTATAATTCTATTTGGAAGGCTTCAAGAGAAATCTTGCTTCTATTATACCTAGTCTAGTACACTAAACAGTCCCTTTATGAGTTTTTAGCTCTTATTGTTTCATTTTTAACCAACTTGAGTTTTAACTTAGGTTAGCAGCAGTCTATACTTATACTTGATGATGCATTGAAGCTCTATTTATTTCATGCCGTTCTTGGTATTTGGAGACTGATTTATTTATTATTATTATTATTAATTTCTTAGATATAAAATTAAATGCATGCTGCCATCCTCTCAGTTTGTAGTCCACTACTCTCATCTAGGATGTTATGATATGCATCATTAGGTGTTCCGTCTTCTTGCTTCTCGATGTTCGATCTAATCATTACTCTTTGCAGGACGATATAGTTTTGGGTATTGAGGAAAAAATTGCAGCATGGACCTTTCTTCCAAAAGGTTATTTTTACCTCTTTTAGTTTTTAAGATTATATTTTCATAACAGAAGATATTATGTGATATGCTACTAGAGATTAGCAAACGATCTAAGCCATGCACAAACTTTTACCTTACTCGCATATCATCACTAAATTCCCACTGTTAACTGATGAACTAACTATGCTCACAGAAATTACAGCCATGTACTTATTCATGGTATGCTTCCAACAATCCACATCCATCTGCCAAAAGCTTTTGCTATTCTCCAAACCTTTTGTCCTAATAAAGTTATCGACTATAACGAGAAGTCAAATTGGTAGAAAATCTCGAGCAAAAGAAATATTGCTTTAATGCTCTTGAAGTTGTTGTCAGGATTAACGTTTATTTCAATTGCATTGCGATGCTTGACAAAATTATAAAGGATGGATGGAGAAAGGATTATATTAAAGTGATATTGATAGAAACAACTATTAAATAAATTGAATGATTAACTTGGGTTAATTGAACATGCACAACTAAAGATAGAAAATGCAACAATAAATTGGCGGATAAATTTTTTTGCAAGATATCAGGAAATGAAAAGGTGTAGGGCAAAGAATAACATGGCATAATTCAACCAAAATGATTTAGATAAAATAAGCTTAACTTCTTATGCAATGTTTGTGGAATTATTGTGAGATGAGGATTCATAGAGCTAGCAAATTGATTGGGACAAGATTAATGTAGACATAGGCGGTTATAATGAATGAAATGCATTGCCTAACCTTTTAGCCCTTAGTTTATAGATGATGACACTTTAGAAAACTTATCGCATTTCTTTTTTTACGACCCAACTTGATAGCTTAACATTAACTAAGTTAGGAACGCGGTCGAACGGTATTATCATTTTTTTTACTTTTTCGTAAATTTTCATAACTTTCAATTTTTAAAAGAGTTACTAAGAAATCACAAAATACGTTACACGTACATGAAATCATCCAAAAGTAACAACATAGTCTACAAACAGACATCTCAAACCAGCACAACAATATCACTACTCAGAATTAAATAGTACAATAACTATAATCACAACACACGACATCGAACTTATCAAGAGTAGTCTCTTTTCTGTAAATCATTTCTCTCCTGTCAGTCATATCAATCTAATATTTTTTTTGAAAACAATCATTAATTTTCAAAAATAATTTACACTAAGTGAGCAATTATAATCTTCTTATGCATTAAATTAATATCTAAATGCTATACATGATGTCCAAAAAAAAATACAATTTATTGATAAATCAAATTATAAGCTTTCATTTTTAATTTAATCATTCCAATTTTAGTTTAAGTATTTACCTTTATTAACCTCTTTAAGAATTCATATCAAGATTATCTTCATAACTGAAGGTATTATCAAAAATGTATTCGTAGTCACCCTAAAAAATTTGCACCCAAAGGTACACCTTTACTATTTTCATTTCTTTTTTCATGCACAGGTGTCAAAGTTTTGAGAAAAATAGACTGAATTCTGAATAGACTTGATGCCTATACCCTTTGCTTTCAATCCATTAAATAATACTCTTACAATCTATTTTAGGTACAAAATAAAGTGCATAATCTATTTTAGATAACTTAATAATACATATTTCTAATCTAAATATTCAACTAAAAGGGAAATAAATTAGAATAAAGATATTGGAAATAAGGAAGCTTCTAATTATATAAAACTCCTAATTTAGCTGTCTGATTTTCTTCCTTCCTGATTGACATCCTCACTCAAATTGATGCACCCTTAAATTGATATTGACTGATCAGAAAACATAAATTTGCCAATAAGAAATTGATAACATTGTCAGGACAAAAGATCTTCAAGTCGTGAGTGTCGAAGCCTTAGAGTGTCAAAGCCTGAAAATGCCGAAACCCAAGAGTACCGAAGCCAAAGAGTGTCGAAGCCCGAGAGTAAGCCCGAGAGTAAGCCCGAGAGTGTCGAAGCCAGAGAGTGCCGAAGCCTAAAAGTGCCGAAGCCCTAGAGTGCCGAAGCCCGAGAGTGCCGAAGCCCGAGAGTGCCGATGCCCGAGAGTGCCGATGCCTCAGAGTGTCGAAGCCCTAAAGTGCCGAAGCCTGAAAATGCCGAAGCCCGAGAGGCTGAAGCCCGAGAGTGTCGAAGCCTGAGAATGTCAAAGAAAAGCAATAAATCCTTTATCATTGTCGTCCAGAAATTTGAATAATAGCCACAAGAAGGATTCACTTCCAATTACACGATCCAGATGCTATCGTTCATAACCCACAAATAGGATCCAGTTACACGATATTTCTTGTTGAATCCCTTATGGAAAACCAAGGCCAAGCTCTTTGCACATGCTGAATCCCTTATAGAAAGCATAGATATTCCCAAGATTTCCTCCAGGTACAATTACCCAATCTGGAACCTCCCAATCAAACTGTTGCAGAATTTCAATTGCTGCTGTCTTCTGGCCTTCAAGTCTAAGCGAATTCAGGGAATTCGCAAGATAAATTGGAAGCTCAACCGTCACCTCACGAATTCTCCTCATGCACCCATCAAAGTCTGTATCAATGGACAAAACGGTGGCAGCATTAGCAGAAAGAGGATTTATTATAAGCTTCATCACATCAATAATTTCAGTCAGCTTCTAGATCTTTAATTTATCCATGATGGTTTGAATGAGCTGTGCCAATGAAATACGATCGGTAGGCAAGAAGACAATAGCAGAAATGTTCGCTGCAGCGCAATAGGCTGAAAGAGCAGCAGATATATCACCCGTGGAAGCGCAGCCAACGCCCCCAATGGGGCGGGAAAGTGGTTTGCTCCGAAGCCGATTAACTTGGGATACAATAGCAGTCATACGTAGATCCTTAAAAGATCCGGTGTGCGAGATGCCGCAATGCTTGACCTAGAGATCAGACATCCCATGAAGATGTTCACGACCAAGCCGCTTAGCCCAGAAGAGATTGAAGTTTCCTTCGAAGAGAGAAACGATGTGATCGACATCTATCTCGGGGAGCATGAACTCTTTCTTGGACCGGACGCTGGAGCCATAGGGCCAAGTGGTGCGACCGACGCGGGAGTCGAAGAGATCACGCCAGTAAGAACCGGGGAACTTGGTGTGGGCTGAGAAATCATGGCGGATCAAGGAGGCCACCGGAGCTGCTCTTGTAGATCACATCGTCGAGAAAGTAGCGCTGGTCGGGGTCGAAAGAGAGGCCGAATGGAACGTACCGGGCGGAGAAGGCCATGGTTTCAAGCGAGGTGGGTGAATCAAGGCAAATCAATAGTTTCTCTCTTCCTGCAAAAAAGGATGGCGGGAAGGGAGTTTTAACGATCCTCCAATAACTATTGGTGATTAGGACAAAATTTTGGCTCTGATACTATGTCAAAGTTTTGAGAAAAATAGGTTGAATTCTGAATAGACTCGATGCCTTTTCTCTTTGCTTTCATTCCATTAAATAATACTCTTACAATCTATTTTAGGTACAAAATAAAGTGCATAATCTATTTTAGGTAACTTAATAATACATATTCGTAATCTAAATATTCAGCTAAAAGAGAAATAAATCAGAATAAAGATATTGGAAATAAAGAAACTTCTAATTATAGAAAACTACTAATTTAGCTTTTTCATTTCTGTCCTTCCTGATTGACAAAGGGTAAATGACATCCTTTGTCAGTATCATATGGAGGTAATCCTATATAAATTAAGCTTTTACATTTTATTTCTTTTAATCACCTTCTTTTTAAAGTCATTGAACAATCATTTTTTTCTTTTTATCATTTCATTTCAATAATTCTTGTAACTTACAACATGTATATAAGAATAAAAGCATGTATATGAACGTCTATATTTAATAAAACATCATTTTAATACATATAAGAAAGTAATTACTTATCTTAATCTTTAAGTGACCTCCGTAAAAGTTTATACCTCTACTTTACTATATCATCAATCTTTTAACAATCTCATAATGAATTGCCTTCTTTCACATTTTATAATTGAATAAAATTTAATAACATTAATTTAACTAATTATATTTTTTATTCTAAGAACAATAATAACATTAACAAATACTTTTTCAATCTCTCGAATCGATCTCCCTTCTTACTCGCATGCTTTTCTTTTTTTATGTGAAATCAATAATTTATGACTCCAAAACTTACGTTTCCTGATTTAAGATTTCTTAAATAAATTAATAAACTTTAACTTTAATACCTATAACATTAATTTAATCCATAAAAACGGGTATCAAACTTAAAAAAAAAAAACTCACCTTAATAAGCCTCGGTCAGTTGCTCTAACCCGACGCCGACAATTCTTCCTCTCCTCTTTCCTTCGATTACGATTCGATCTGGCACAACACTTGGGAGGTCGTCTTACTTCCTCCTATTTCCTTTTCGCACCTAAGCAACTCGACTAGAGTTTTGTTGGGGTCACTCCACTTCAAGTGGTAGGCCATCTCTCTCAAATCCTACAATTCGAGAGATAGGAAATATCTTCTAAAACCTAACCCTAAAACTCAAAGACAACAATCTCATGCATAAATCCAACCCTAAACATATTAACCCTATTTATACTAAACAATAAATCATAAATAATTAAATTGTTCTTGGCTAATAAAGGCTAAATTGCTCTTAGACATTGTTATAACCTTATTGTCCTCCAAAGAAGACACCTTCTTCTCAAGGTGGAAAAAAATATTGTTGAATCATGTCGTATGACTCCCACATGACACCATCATCTAACAATTATTTCCATTTAATAAAAAATTTGTAGTGACCCACACGGTCTCGACATGTCATTTTGTGCATATCCTTCCGTCGCATCTGAATATGATGGTACGCTGAATTTAAATCAATCTTGGAGAATATTGTCACCCCAAAGAACTCATCCATTAGCTTATTAATCCTCGGATCTTTGTCAACTCTGTATCACGTGTCTCTTGCATGATATGTAATTCGATCAAGAATCTCAGCCCTGCGTCCTAAATCACTCTCATCATCGTCTTCAGCATTACCCGCATCTTGCACAAATTAGGGTCACAACAAAACATCATCATCTTATCTTCCTCATGAATACTTGCAGTCTCTTACAAACTCCATGGTTCCTATCATTACTCTTGAATTGTATTTTACCGGGAAGCCTTCTGCAATAAAAGGCGCTAGCGCAGTTGGATGCAGCTCTCCATCAAAATCCCACCCACTCGAATTCCCTATCCCAAGGCAACATTCTTTGAAGCGATCTTCTTCAACCCTGAATCACATGTCATTCAGATCTATCTGTTGCTGCTCATCCCAACCCTGATGATGATGTGCAATTCCGCCGAAATGTCGCTTGAGTCTGCTCCTAATTTCTTTGCTCGATGTTGTTGCTCCCGATCCACCTAAAGCAGTGATGCTGCATTGATGTCGCATGAATTCTTCTTGTTACTGTTGGTCGTGTCTGTTCTCAATGCCATCATCGATTTGTGTGAAACATTGTGATTTTCTTCATCATTTCTTCTAGTATCATGAATTTTCGCTCCAATCAAGAAATTTTTCTCTATTTTGGATCTGATGCGGCTCAACTCTCCTTTTAATTTCTCCTCCAAAACGTCCACTTTCTTAGCCACCATTACTCCCGGTAAGATTTTTGATATCCTATATCGAAGGTGCAGTGGATTAATGAGTCTGACTTCGGACTCGAAGTTGGAGTCATGATTCTATCGCTTTCTTCTCTGTTTTACGATCCCGCGGTTCGGTCGTGTACGCCCAATCCGCTGGTTGGCTTCTCAGCTAGTTCAAATCACGATTGCATTGTGAGATTAGGGCGCGATAGAAACTTTTTTGTAAGTCGCGATCCCGTCTCTTGCTTGCAAGCTAGCTCAAATCGTGACTGTATCACGAGATTAGGGCATGATGGAGATGTCGCGTAAGCCATAATCTCGTCATCAGCTTCCCAACTAGCTACGCAGGTTCGGTGTGAAACTGCTGAATGTTGTGAACCCCATAAGTCTGTACGTCTTGATTTTATTCAAGTTGTTCCCCCTTCTGTTCTTATAAGACTCTCTCATCGATGCTTTGATGTCATTTAATAGGATATGGCACCGATTTTTCATAGAAATTAGGGCAACTTATAGTTTTATTTCACGAATACCAAACAACACAATACAAATATATAAAGATGAGCACCTACAATTCGAGAAGTAGACGATCTCCCCCAAATCCTACAATTCTAGAGGTAGGAAATTTTTCACAAAACTTCACACTAATACTCAAAGACAACAATCTAATGCATAACGCCAATCCTAAACACGTTAGTCCTATTTGTACTAAACAACAATAAATGATAAATGTTTAAATTGTCCCTTGGCTAATAAACACTAAATTGTCTTTAAGTGCTTTCATAACATAATACTCTTTATAAATTACAGCATACCTGCCAGGCTGGAAAGGGATCCTTTTTGCATGCTTTTAACATCTTATTTATGAAATTTTTATGCATAGGAGCAATATCTTTCCTATGTAACATTTGTGAAATCGCTGGAAATCACATAAAGTTCTGGTTGAATGCTTAATTTGGTGAATTTATTGGGTTGACAAGTTTTACCTAAGATCTCAAGACATTGTTTCTTTGTTTGGCTACTCTAGGGACTTTTGTAGCTTATGTTGGGTGTTTCAACCTTCATTGGTGGCTCCTTCTTATGCGTGTATGACGTGTACTTGGTGAATATGAGAAAATTTTGGACCATCATAAGGGCGTCTCACATATCCCTTCTAAGCCCTATCATATCTACTTTTTGATGCTTCATTTCTCTATTATTTTTGAGCTGGAAGGAACTTGCCCAGTTAAGCAAGTTGTGAAACCAATTATGAGGTACCATTACTTGTTAACAACTATTGTTTAAGCTATTAAAAAAATCTATTGATAAATAATCAACATTAATGCGAAAATTTTCTAGCAATAATCATGATAATTTTATTAGCAATTAATATGATCACGTGAATAATATCTAAATTGACTATTCCTATTTCAATTGTTAAGCACGTGCTCCTAAAACATAAATGGACAGATTTATTTCTTAACAAGTGTAAACCATTTGTAGCAATTTGAGGGTGGCCTAGCTTTTATACGACCTCTCTATCATCCCTTTGTCCCAACATTTGGTACTTCATAAGTAGGGTTGTCAATTTGGCTCGTTGTTCGTGAACAACTTGTGTTCGGCTCGTTAAGCAGCTCGTGTTCGGCTCCTAGTCTTTGTTTTATTGTTTTCATTTTCGAGCCGAACACGAACAACAGTTTGTTCGCTTGTATTCGGCTCGAAATGGCTCGAAAAAAAAATTATATAACTTTTTATATTTATATAATAATATATTATATATATTTATGTCTAAGTTTAAAACATAACACCTCATGTGGCAATGTGGTTAGTGTATTTTTTTGTATATATTTGATCCAGGTTCGAATCTCACACTTTACATCTACTTTTCTCAATTTAAGTTTAGCGAGTCAATTTCGAGCCCAACACGAGCCGAACACGAACATGAATTTTTTAATCGAGCTGAACATGAACACTGTTCATGAGCCGATTTCGAATACGAGCTGATTTTTAACACGAGCTATTTCGAAAGCCAAGCCTGAGCTCGCTCAAGCTCGGCTCGTTTACAGCCCTATTCATAAGTCAAGAGATTCTAATTGAAAAATAAAATTAATATACTAAATAATAAAGTTTATATAATCCCAAAAATTAATTATCAAAGATAAAAATTCATTTTAAAATTTACGAATGTCCAGGTAACAAAGAGTACCTTCTCGAGATTAAAAATATTGATCCAAGAGCATAAATATTTTATAATTTGCTCTATTCACAATATATAAATTCAATAGCTAATATTATTCATTTTATTAACATTGCCGGTGATATTTCAAGATAGGTTTATACTTATTTTTGTTTAATATTAATTCATTGATATAGGTTTGATTGATCTTAAATTAATATTCTTATTTAACTTAATTTCTCAAAGTTTGGACTTGAAGTAGGATTCCAACTATTTATATTCACATTAAATGACATTTGGTTTCTTGATACTTAATCACGGCATTCTCACATGCAAGAATCCTGCATTCACAATTCCTAAAAGATTCAAACAAATTATAAAAAAATTTTAAATTTTTCGAAGCCAGGATTCTAGGTTAACATGATGCATGATAGATTCAGCACAATATAATTATAAGATCTATGCCTAGTAAATGTCATTTAAATTTTTTAATTATAAAGGTAATTTTATTTTATTATTGTTATTATTATTATCTTTTTTTTAAAAAAATTATTTTCATTTGCAATGAATGGATGTTGGTTGGGTGAGAGTCAAAAATGTTAAGTTCAAATTGAGTTGTATTTTACTCTAAATTGGAATCAAATATGTTGCATCATCATTGATATCTCTCTTTTTCAAGTCATCAAACTCTCAAGTCAAAGCAAATGTTGCCAATCATCTTTCGATAATTTAATCATGTTCCATCATCCAACATTTAGTTTTAATGTAATTAAAAATACTTGAATTATAAAGATGAAGTTATAAACGCTAAAGCAAGTTCTAAGTTGCATTTGTTGTAATTTGACCATCCTTTAGATTCCTTGTGATGTTTATAGTTTCTTCATGTGCAAAGGTTTTAAATAGCATGTGATATATAAGAAATAAACATTCAAATAAAACAGAAATTAGATTGGATAAATTTCATTCCTCTTTGGGAAAGTTGGTGGCTATTCTTGAATTCCCCGGTTACACGCTCTTTCATCCTTACATCTAATAAGCAAGAGGCATCTTTATGTCATGATTTTCATCACTTCAAGATATTATTGTCATCGTGCCCCATGCAGCCGAGTAAAAATTGGACCACCTAAATCTCTATGCTATCTGGTGTTCTGGGCAATAATGATATTTCCAATTGGAATGAGTGGATGCGTCACATTGAAATGCTCAGACTTTTTTGTCAAATACTTGAAAATTAAAGTGCTTATGTATGGTCTGTTGATCTGTATTGACCATTCATAAATTAGACATTTAAAACTTTGTTTTCCCAATTATTTACACTTAAAATTTGCAATATCTTCCGAGGTAACACGAGTATCCTGAACTTTGTTTGAACTTGATTTAAGCATTTCGGAACGTCGTTTATTTATAGCAAACTGATTTTTTTTTTTAATTTTTATTCAGAAAATGGTGAGGACATTCAAGTCCTGAGGTATGAGCATGGACAGAAATATGACCCTCATTATGATTTCTTCACGGACCCAGTTAACATTGCTCGTGGCGGTCATCGAATTGCCACAGTTCTAATGTATCTTAGTAATGTTGAGAAGGGTGGAGAAACCGTCTTTCCACTGGCAAAGGTTAGTGTATTTCTTACATTTCAGTGCACCCAGTTACTGTACAGTTGGTGAACCTACTTGCTCATTTGCTACACCCGATTCCCTGGAAGCATGCCTTTTTTGTTCGTTTTCTTGCACCTCTTGAATGAAGACCTAAGCTTGCTTGATTTGTAGTAGACCAAAATAAAAACTTTCTAAACTTTTCTATTTTTCCACCATTTTGTTTGGAAAATTTTCTGGCAGCGTACTGACATTCAGTAATGTAATGATTGTTATATAGGAATCTCAGCGCCATTCCTATGCCAATGATGATGTGTCAGAATGTGCCCAACGAGGAATTGCAGGTGATGTTTCAAGATGCTGATAGTTCTCTTATGTTCCTTCCACTAAATCTTCATGTTATAATCTGCATTTCAGTAAAACCACGGAGAGGGGATGCTCTTCTCTTCTTCAATCTTTATCCCAATGCCTCTCCAGACCATAATAGTCTCCACGGCGGCTGTCCCGTGATCGAAGGAGAGAAATGGTCAGCAACAAAGTGGATTCATGTAACTTCTTTTGACAAAATATTGCCAAGCCATGCAAATTGCACAGATAGCAATCCAAGCTGTGAGAGGTGGGCTTCGTTGGGAGAGTGCACTAAGAACCCTGAGTATATGGTAGGAACTTCTAATTTGCCTGGTTACTGCCGCAGAAGCTGCAATGTTTGTTAACTTGACATATGCTAAATTTATTTTAAATGGCCATCTGGGTCCTGATCGAGGAACCTAACTACGTTCGTTGATTTTAGTAGTAAACTGTTCTCTTCTATTCACATATCTTTATTTTTGAAACTGTATTTAATTGGGGTGGACAAAGCCTTACAAGCAACGATAAATAATAATTTTGCTTTGCCTCTTTTATTATTACTCATTTCATGGATCAGATTGTCGTGGTACTGAACATTCATCAATCAATATGAAGATGAACCTTATTAGTGGTCGAATCTACGTCCCATATACGCCGCCCAGAAGCAAAAATTTAAAAATTTGTATGAAAAGTAATTGCATTAGGACACAGGAATCCTCTTGTTACAAGAATTATTAATTTTTTAAAGATGTGTCGATCGACTTTTTACCCTGCAAATTAAAGCTATGCTCCCGCAGTTCTTGGCCTGCCATCCCCTCCCTAATTACTCTTGCAAAGAATTCCTCGAGTGTATCGGTGCCGTAGCTCGGCGTTTGCTCAGCGCTGTACTGGCCTGTCTCCTCGTCTAAAACCAGCATGCTCTCCGCCGCATAATACCTTCCAATCCTCCCAAACTCCGCCGCATCCCCCATGGCCGGAAATATTTTCGCCAAAAACTCCAAAACCGTGATCACAAAATCCATCAAACTTATGGGCAACTTCACAAACTTGGGATCCCGGCCGAGCAGCCGGAAAAGCATCTCTCCCTGTTCCATCGGGGTCAATGCCTTTCCCGGACCGCCTACCGGAAGAACCTTTCCGGCCTTGCTCTCGTCCACCACGCAGTCTGCGATGAATGAAGCGAGATCCTGCTCGCTGATGGGCTTACAAGAACACATTTTGCCGTCTCCAAACATCACGTAAGGCTTCCCATCCTTCACCGTCTCCACCTGTCCGCCCAGGCTCTTGAAGAACGCCGTCGGCCGAACAATGCTGTAGCTAAAAGTGGGATCTTTGGCCTTCTCGTCGACCAGCTCAGCTTCAAACTTGAGCTTGGCGTGCTGGAACTCGAGCAGTGGCTTCTGGACGCAGATGGCGGAGAGGAGAACGAAGTGACCGGCGCCATGCCGGCGGGCGGCGGCAAGGCTGTTATGGCTGGCTTCATAGTCGATTTTCCAGGAATCTTGTATGCCGCCGGAATAGGTTGCGTCAATTGGGAGGGCGAGGGTGTCGAGGGAGCGCTCCAATGCGGCGGGATCGGTGACGTCAGAGAAGCAGATGGTGGCGCCTGTGAGCTGACGGATCGCTTCATCGCGACTGCGCTCGCGAGCGATGGCGATGACGTTGAAGCCACGGCGGCACAGCTCCTTGACGACGAATTTGCCGATGTAGCCAGTGGAACCCGCGACGAGAATGTTTACTTGGTGGGGCGGTTTGCTGCGGAAGGAAGGAGCGGTTGTGGGTTGGGACTTCTGCGGCGGCGAGGCGGCAGCGGCGGCGGCGACCTTTAGGGACGAAGTTTTGGATTTGGGTGAGACGTAGAGGAGAATGGGAGTGTAAAAGTGGTGGGGGATGAAATTGGCGTGGGAGTGAAAATGGGAGTTGGAAGGGGAGGAGAAGCGGAGGGACATCTGAATGGATCTGTGAGATGAGAGGAGAGGCCAGGGTTGGAAGAAAACTGAAGAGGATAACATGACGATTGAACGCATTGGATGAATTAAGAAAATTTGGGTTTTATTTATAATACATAAAATTAGAATATAATCTATTTTATTAAATTAGTCTATTTCAGGGAGCAAAATCCTTAGAAAAATATTGATTTGTTTGAACTACTTTTTCCAGATGCTTAAATATATATTAGAAATTATGGAACAAAAACCTTAAAATTATTATATGACTGATATGATTTATCATGCTCTCATAAAACAAAAAAAAAGAAACTCTTTTTTAAACTCCACAACATTTTTTTACAACAATAACAACAAAACCTTAATCCCACTGTGGGGTCGGCCACATGAATACTTTTTCCATTGTTTCTAACAAGTCAAAAAAATAAAAATAATGAATAATAATGAACACAACTTAGCAACAATCATTGAGCTATATCAACTGTGCATCCTCTCTTAACGAACACTGTAGACAAGCAAGTCAAGCAAGTGCTTATTTAGGGTTTGGTTGGGGTAGTTGCAGCTTTTTGAAAAGCTGTAACACAATCATTGTGTTAGGAAACTACTGCGCAAAATCTGCTGAGAGAAAACTGTATCTGTTTGTTTTGTGCAGTTATTCAACAACTGTTTATGATGAGAAGATTTTTTCACTCATGTGTTGTTGTGTTGTTTATAACAAAACCAGTTCAGATTGAATAATGCATCCACGAAAACAAAAATTAAATTCAAAATCCCAAAAAAACTCACAAGTTTGAATTTTACAACTAAAACCTGACATATCACTAAAAATTGAGTAACACAACAAACAAAATTAAAAATAAAACTATTAAAACAACAATTACCATTTTCATGATATTAAATTTAAAATGCAAACGATCAATTTTGCGAGAGAATTTCTTCTTCAAAGAAACTCTTCATGCCTGATCATTATCTTAGGTTGAATCGTCTAGGCTATTTGCCCATTTGAGAAGTCACAGTCCTCCACTGATTTATTCCTTGGACGCTTGTAACATTTTTACCAATAACTATGGTCCTATCGTGAAATATGCAAAAAACACTGCAAACCACAGTATTATTTTTTTCTACCATGTTCAAGTTAAGCCCAGTTTTTCTTTTACAAGTTCCACGTCCTATGTTCATGACATCACTCTCTGGTTATGAAGCATTGTTCTATGGCAGGAATTTAATCCAACTTAACTTAAGAAAAGAGGCAATGCACAAACAAGAAAAAGTAAAGGAAGCCACATGTACCAGTGGCAAGCATGATGGACTAAGCAATGAAGAGTGAATAACGAAGGTACAAAAAAGCAGAGATAGGGCATTTCTACATGTTTTTCCCAACTTTTTTTTTTTAAAAAATTCTCCAAATTTCTCCATCACATAAAAACCCAAAGAACTCCAAATCTCTTAATCACAACAAAACCACAGATACCATGAAGCAACATAAGAAATCGAAGGCAATCAAAAAAAATTCGAAGACAATGGCAACAATAATCCATGGTCATCACCAAGATCATTTCAAGATATTTCTCCAAATATCGCAAAAAAAATTTCTTCATCATAGAAAAATCCACAGAAATCCAATTTCTCCATCAACAAAAAAAAACCACAAAGAGCACTAACCACATAAAAAATATAAAGCATCGCAAAAAACCACAATATTTAAGGCATGCACATCAAAAAAACTAAGGCCATCGCAAAAAACCACAGAGCTTGGTGAGCCAGAGGAACCACAAATCAGACATAGCGTATACTGTAAAAAGTATAAGGTTAAAGGTACCGTATGATGAAGGAAAGAAAAGGAAGAGAAAGTATGAAGCAGCTCTCGTCGCAGCTGCCAGAGGAAGGAAACATAATCAACCAAATGATCTAGGGCTCGACAAAGGTAGTTTTTACCCATATCGAAGGCTTGCCATATCTTTTGAGATCGCAGGTGAAATATTTTATTTTGCTCCCCGACCACAGTGTCTCGCGAGACTGACCAGCAAGTCTTTGATATAGCTGGAAGGTTGGCGCTCTCCAATGCCCCCTAGTAGGGGTTGATGTCAGGAGGCTACTGAAATGAGGATATTAATTTGTAACCTAACACTTTCTGCATGTATATTGAAAGTCTGTCACATCTTTTGAGATCGTGGGTTGAATGCTCTTTTTTGGTTCTCGGCCACAGTGTCTCACGAGACTGACAAGTGATTCTTTTGAGATGACTGGGAAGGCTGGCATTCTTCTGTGGCGCCTAACAGGTGTCAAGAGGCTGCTGAAATCTTTGGTGATTTGGACTTGTAAATAATTAAAATTATAAAATAGCATAAAATTTGACTCATTTGAATTTTGAAGCGATTGGAAAATTCAGGCTTTTAAAATTTAAGCTCTTAGGGTTTGAAATATCAGGGACCTGTGCTTTTCAATATTTAGGCTCTTAGGTTTTTTAAAATTTTAAAGTTCTAGGTTATTAAAATAACCTTTCAATGCTTAAAAATATTAAAATATGGATTTTAAACTTTAAAGTTCATTAATTTGAAAACATTTAGAATTGAGCTCTTTAGACTTAGGCTCCTAGTATTTGAAAATCAAGTTAAAATTGTGTTTTTGAATTTAGGCTTTTAGGGGAGAAAAATAATTCAAATATGCGGCTTTCCTAAAATTTAAAACTAATCGTCACCGCCACCGGATTCGTAACTTGTTTGCTAGCGAACAAAAGACAGTTTTCAAAAGATATATATGTATATATATAATTGTATGTAATTCCAAGTCATAAAAATGTTATTTAAAGCAATCTTTAATTTTAAATCATATAAATTGTCTTAAGATACCGAGAGCTCCAACTGAAATGCTCAAACATAAGAAATTACAAGTCTGCATGTGCTCCAACCAAACATATTGAATGCTCAAATATTAGGTTCAAGAATCTTGTGAGGGCTAAACGGGCCGCCTTGTCTATATGATATGGTTGTAAGTTTCATCCAACTAGTCTGATCCTACTCCTCGTAAGGACTAAAATTAACGAGTCTATTAAACCCTAATAAATGTCCAAATCCTAAAATAAGAATTAACAAGTCCAAATCACCTAGGATCAGATCCTCCTATCTATAAGAATAGGAGTCGACATGACTTATACCCTAAAATTCTAAACAGATAAAATTAAATATTCGACTTTAAAGATAAATATTTTAAATGCTAATTCCTCGATGATAGTCGTATTGATTTAAGATTTCAACTGGATGGATCAAAATTTTAAATTGTGAATTTCAAAATAATCAACTGAAATTCAAGCTAAAAACAAATTTCATCCATCCTTTACCAGAGTTTGTTGAAGGTGACAAACTTCTGATTGATTTCAACTCCCAAAAAGCGAATGTCAAATCAAATGCATTAATATATTCACAACCAAAGTAATTGCATGCCAGTACATGACCCGAGTCCTTTGTCAGCGTGATTTGACCCAAATGCTTCATAAAGTAGCAGTTAAGACCATAGTCATTTGATCGGGAGGTTGCCACAAAATGACACCATTATATTACGGTCACGACAACAATCTGTATGTTCCCCAACACTTTTTTATCCTTTGAGTTGTGAATCATACGAGTACAATTGATCGACACAAAACCTTATGTTAGCTAAGACCGCTTAAATTTATCCCCTTAGACAAATATCCAACTCAGATCTTCAAGAATGTCTTGGATGACACAACTCATAGTTGTTGATAAGAATTCTTTTGTCGGGTTGAGTCAACTAGTTCCTCTGACTAAGTAGATTAAGGACCACGATGACCCAAGATGACGGAACCATGGGATATTGTTTGGGGTTCGTCTTCATTCCCCCATCATCCGCTTTAAGCTAAGTGATGAATTCTAAAACTTAAATCCTAAGTTTGTTGCTATTATATGTTCAATTTTCAATTTTTGATGCTTAGACTTAATCAAAAGTGCTTTCTCGTTATTGAGAGGGATAATTAATCATAGCGACTTGCGCCTATGGAAAACCTCAAATCCCAGATAAAAAAATCCTCACAGAATGAGGATGAAATCTATGAGTAGTGTCTTATCTACAATCTAATACGCCTTCTGAAAATTTGACTCTTCAAAGCTCTCTAAACAAATAAAAATAAAACCAAATGCAAAGAGAGTTCACGGAGAAGAGTCAGAATTTTTGGAGCCCACACAGAGCAGCTCCCAACATGCCCAATTCCAATCCTTCCACTCTCGTTTAAAATAAAACACATAGTTAAACCCCCAACTCATCTAATGACAATTATTCAATAGGAGATCCCAATTTATCGGGATTTTTACGTCCAAGGAGTTCTACGGTTTTCTTGATGATAGCAACATGCCTAGATAAATTCATCTCCAACGATACCGGATAGACAATTCCCAACCCTCTCTACACAACTAGGATCTCCTCGAAAACTTGGCCACAGAGCCTTATTCAACCATTATAATAGCAGTTCTCCCATATTTTCTTAATCTCAAAACTTGATTCAGACATATTTAAACCATTAAACAACAATTAAATTCCACAAATCAATCCCAAGCCATTCAACAAAAGAATGAATTTAATCATATATCCATGAAAAACTAATTCATGGCCCATTAACTCCCCAAACTAAAGCCTTAGCTAACAACATCATGGCTTCCAGCACTCAAGAAACATGCCGTCTACATGACAATAGTTTACGTTCCATCTACCAAGCTTTCAAAACAGCAATTCATACCTAACTCATCCCAATTAACCTTGATGGTTTATTCATTCCTATGCAATGAAGAAATTAATCTAGCCCATGAAAGTTCCAATGAAATCTCCATACCTCATCCTCAAGCTTATCCTACTACATCTCGTACATGTGTTGTTCTCTCATCCCAAAGCCTTTTTCTCTATGCATCAACCGTTTATATAAACCACTGGAAGTTACCCACCTGATGTCTGAGAACCCTAGTTAATTCAATGTAAGGATAAGTTTATGAATTTTAACTGCATGGTAGAAGTCAATGCAAAAACCAAAATTCTTTGCTTTGACAGTTGCTGTGAACATAATAACACTATTCACAATTCTCAGAATGATCATAGTATGCATCACCAATACGCCTGCCCTTGTACTCCCAAGCAAAATAGTGTCGGCAAAAGAAAGCAACATTGCATTGTCAAAACAACCTGATCCCTCTGCCTGTTGCATTTATCATGGCCACTCATCACCTAATATAAATTATACAAATGCTATAATCCAAACATCCACAAGATCATTATGTTTCTCCATGTGGTCCTCTATGAACGCTCAAACTCGTACATGCCCACTTCCAATCCCACATCATCTTTAACCTCATCATCCATTCAATCTCCCTTAACACTAATTCTTATCTCTATCACGACTGCACAAAACTTCCAGTTCTCTGCAGCTACCATGTCTACCCACTCAACAAACACCGATTTCATCCCTATTACAATCCACTCCCTCATCAGCCTCCTCGTCAGAACAACTCTCTCTCCCTGTGCCCTCATATAACAGCCATCTCTAGCTGCTCCAACTCACGTCCAATGCTCATCAATGGGCTCTCCCAAACACACTCAAAGTCTGAAACTCTCACAACAATTCACTCCATAAAATGATTCTACACACCATACCCAAGCCATCAGATTTTCATTAGCGACAAGCTATGCCCAATGAGTTTTATACTCAGCAAAAGCAAGGTACATGGCTTTTAGATCCATATCCACCAAACCAAATTATTCTTGGCTCAGAGTGGATATTTTGTACAGAACCCAACTTCGATGGAACCATTGTCCATTACAAAGCATCTTATTGTTTAACGTTTCAAGCAAAGTAGCCGATCGACTACAACGAACATGATTTTCGGTCATTAAAATGCCTATAATCTAATAAAAATCCAATGATTTTTAAATCCGTCCTAATACAATTTGTATCAAGACATCCTGATGCTATTTTTTCATTCAATTAAAAAGCCCAAAAACTAGAAAAACTTAAGCAACAATTAACAATTGTCGAAATAATGCTTCACAGTCTTTCAGATTTATGACAAATACTAAAGCAACAGTCAATTGACAGTTCCCCAAAATCAAATCCTGAAAAATGATTTCAAATCTCCCAATTCTTCACTTGTGACCACTCCTTCATTGCACCTAAGGAGTGAGAGAGTGGCAATAACACCACCTCCATCTGCTAAAACTGCAGCGGGTCAACAGACAACCATTCCTTCCAAGCAGTTGAGTTGGCACCATGAGCTCACCTAATCAGTCCATCTACATGGTTAATCAAGCATGTTGATCATCTCTTGCCAATTTGGTGATAACAGGAAAGTGTAACCATTGTCGCCGTTTAGAGGAGAAACGTCAAAAACACTTATCATTTTGGACTTGAATCCAGTAATTTCTATTAATATCCTATTCGACATAATAATCCAACTTTCAATGATAAGACATTATGGGCCTAGAAGAAATCAAGTTATCCAAACACTCCTTCACATTAAAATCTCACGTCAACAATTCGTTATAAGAAAATGCAAAAATTAAACCATAAAATGCTATAACAGGTGCACAACTTTACAATAATAAAAAACACACTTACTATAAACAGCTGGACATCTTTATGAAGTTTACCACAATCTTACTCTGTAATCAACATAGAAAAAGCATCACCACATCTAAATAAAGCAAAAGTTAATAATCAGACTATTTAGCAGTGCTCTTAAGAAACTAATGTAATAAATGTACAAGATTATTTTGCATCTCAAAGAAGTTCAATTTAGTTTTCTCCACCTGAAACTGAATTTGAAACTGCAGTTTCAGGATTTACTCCTGTAATATAAACACGAGGTTCAGCACACCAATAACCTCATCATCTTTGCCCATCGCAAGCTCCCCAAGAGAGATTTTCCTAGAGTGGTGCTCATCCTGAAGGCGGAAACCATAGAACCATCTCCCAAGCTTGAACCACCTTACACAAATTTGTCGTTCTGAAACTTCACTACTGCAGAGGGCCTCCATCACCTCACTGGGCTGCAATGTTAGAAAAGACTCCCTTGAAAACTGTGCTAAATATGTTTCACGGTAGCATCAGCATAATGTTCTTTTCAAAATTAGAAAAAGAAGAGTATGAGTCTCCCAAGGCACCAATAAAACTTCTATTTGCGGATTAGGCATACTTCTGGTAGATGCAGCAATAATAACATTCCATAAATTGTTCATCGCTTGAATCCTTTATTGAAAGCATGCAAAACAGAAATGAATGCAAGGAACTAGAGAAAATATTAAGGGTCCGAAACAATAGGAAAGAACTTGCGGTCGTAACTTACTGCAATTTCAAGCTGAACAAAGCAATAAAGTAATCCAACCAAATTAAGAAGAACACTGCATCTTTTTGCAAACAAAAAAACTTGAACATCCTTGAAACCAAGCCTGTACAAGCGTAAATCATTGACTGCTTTTAAATAATAACCAGCTTCAAGCGATTCATTTTCAGAACATAGTTCCACAAATTCTTTGACAGCAGAAACCGCACGAGCTAAACTTTGGTGTCGATAAATGTAAACTTCTCTCCACCCCTGCAGCAAATGGCAGATTTAGAGGAAAAAGAAGCAAGCTGAACCACATGTACAAGATGCAATTTCTCAGTTGTGATAAATGCTTCGTGTCGAGTAACTAAAACTTCAAGGTAAATGTCTTGAACAGCGCAAAATGCAGTTAGACTGGTCATCACCAACATCATATATTTATTTTTATGAAATAGGAACCTTTTTATTTTGCATGCATTGCAGTTTGAAATTTTGTCGGATAAAATTTTGTTATAGCCAGTGGAACCTGTACTGCTGGCGGTATCTCAACATTGAATGCATCCCACATGAATCATAAAAAGGGATGAAGTAAAGCAAAGTCCTCCGAGTAATAGAATCCTATAAGGCAACTTGCTAGTAAAATTCAGCTATCATAACAGCATTGAGAAGAAAAGCTTCGTTTCTGAGAATTTGCGCATTCCTTCAGAATAAAGCAGTCTGTAGGAAAAGAGATATTTTTATGAGTCTAGCTCAAGAGAATATCTTGAGCTACATACTAATTAAATATGTACTTTGTTTACTATCGATTAGAATTGACATTGCAGATTGTTTAGCTATGAGATTACCAATTTTAAATAAAATACTAAACAAATGCTACCTATCGATAGTATTTAGCTCAAGGACTTTCTTGAGCCATGCTCACAGAACAAATTAGGGTTTCGGAAACCATCTTACGAATTCACTGAAAAACGACGGATCTCCGTAAAATAGCATAACAATACAAGAAAAGTTTCAAAGAGATGCTAGTAAAATAATTAACCTGTAGGGGAGGAAAAGAGGTTCGAGACGCAGCAGAAACTTCTTGCCCAACAACTTCGTCAAGCCTTGACGAAACCTTCAATAACTGCGGAGATCCAGTCGAGGTTGAATCTAAATCGGTTATAGGCCATCTCTTCTTGGCGAGCTCCATCCAAAGGTAGTCAGAGTCGCAGAGACCAAGCCAGAATCGCGAGCAACTCCCCAAAGAGCACACATCCGCCGCCTTCTCTTCCCCGCCCAAATTAAAATTCAGATATTGAAAGCTTCAAAAGCGCAAAAGACATGCAGAGAAGGAAAAGAAGACCAACCTCCAGAAAAGAGGCGATCTTGATGGCGATGTCGACCGGGATCGAGCTCCAACTTGGTTCGTGCCGCAGGGTCGCCATGGATCGCTTGCGATCTCCTTTCTCCGTCGCTGCCGCTCGTAGTAAGAAGCGGGGAATGTAACAGTGACGTGTTCAATTCATACGAATATTTATCAAAAATTGCCTGAAGCTGGATTAGTTTTAAACAATTTAAAAATCATAAAATTAAATTGTGCGAGTAAGCTATAAACAAACTTAATTTAGGTGAACTCGTCGTACAATATAAAGTTTAAGTGGCAAGGCACGTGATATTAGTATGAGTAAAAAATGTATGGGCTGTTTGCATACATAGCACCCAAGCATTATTATTTACATATCAAATTCTCATTTTCATTTATTTTTCAAATTCTCACTCAAATATTAAAGTTTTTGATAAAATCTCAGCTAATATTTTTCTTTTTTAACAAGTTCTAAATAATTTGATCTTGACACTCGTAAGCACATTGCTTCATTAGTTCAAAAATTTTGCATAATTGGTAGATTTTATAAACACACTTTCTAATTAGGATTTTATTATTTGTCCTAATTTTATACTTCATAATTAATTTTAATATAAACTCATTATTTAATAATTTAAATATAAAATATCTTGTTCCATGACTTGGTGAATTATTAAATAATGAGTTTGATTACGAAATATATAAATGAGTGTATATAAAAACTTTTTACAAAATGCGTGTATATGAAGTATATAAATCAGTGTATATAAAAACTAATTCATCTCAATAAATAAAAATAGTTCAATATTCTTGAATTATAGGTGTTTTTACAAAAACAACCGCCTAAAGCATTGCATTTAACTTTTTACCTATTGTTGTTTGTTCGCCTCCTCGTTTTTCGTTTGAGCTGTAATCATCCATCGATCGCTTGCATATTGTCCATTAATTCTATCCTCTCGTACTCAATTCCTCCTGCGCTATAGTCCCAATTAGAAAATAGTTGCGTGAAGCTGCCAACAAGCCAAAAAAATCATAATAATAATAAATAAATAAATAAATTTTATATATCAATCACCTAAAATTCTAAATATAGCTATCATCCAAATATAAAATTTCACATTTCAACTACCTAAATCATCCAACATAAATCTCGAGGCATGGCGCGCATCTCAAGGCGAGTTTTTGAGCAATAACTATACAAACTTTGATTAAAAGTCATACAAAACTCCGATTTCAGCAAATTTATAGTCAAATTGGACAACTCGATGAGATAAACCAAACGCTACCAAAATTGATCCAATCTATGTCAAATCAAGCCTGGATTAAGCCATTAAATCATTTTTAGAAGCATTTTTTGTTATAGTTGAGAGGTTAATGAAGTTATAATTTTACAAACATATATTTGAATCAAACAATTCGACGAGACGAATAAATGAGCCCAAGAACACCTAATTCTGACATCATTAAGACACTATTAATGTCCATTGGATGTTGTCAAATCAAGAGGATCTCTTCCAATAGTCCAATCATAGTGGTCTTAATTTCTTATTTATTTGTAATTTGGACTCTATAAATAGAGTTCTACTCCCCACATTAGAGAGGAACCTAGAGCTTGAAGTTTGAAGAAAACTGAAGCTTGAATAAAGAGTTGAATTCCAGCATTACTTTTTCACCGACGATCACTTGAGCGCCTCCTACTCCTGCAACCACCGACAAGTGCCACTCGTCGGCCGCTGTCGATCACCATCGGTTGTCACCCACTCCTGGTACAAAGCACGGCAGGCAACAATCTATGAAGCGATGCATAATCCTAAATGTACCCGAAGACGATTCAATAAACCCTTGATTATTGCTCCTCCTTGTGATTGCTCTCTACCATGGGGCCAAAAGTCCTTCCGCACACCAACGTGATAACTTGAGAGGTGGTATAACCCTTTCCCACATAAGGGACAACAGACCGTACATGTAATGGATAGTTTATAGTGAATTTATTCAACTTAGTCATGCCCTATAATTTTTTTTTCTTTTTGGATTTTTCACATAAGAAGTTCTTGTTGTTTCTGCAAATCATATTTATTGCCTGAGTGTGTGTTGTCTTCTCGTTCAATGATAAGATTGATTAAGCACTCTGTCACTACAAATTCTTGCCCACATCACCACCCAAAACTTTAAATATAACAAATTGATCGCTTCTTTTTCAAAAGGAAATAAAGTTTTGGGTGGTAAAAATATAAATTTTAATTTTTTATGGCCAAAATGTTATTTTTAAAGTTTTGGATGACTGGTATGTAAAAGTTCCCACAAAATAATTTATTATATATTGTTGATTGGGTTGGACAAGTCTGACTCGGGAGTCGTAAAATAGATCCATGTAAAGGCTCCATCAAACCAGCCATTATACATATAGAAGAAGCAGCCCAACCAAAAGGGAGCAAGGCACGTCACAAAAACTCAATCAACAACAAAACATATCTAGGTAAGGCTCCATCGAACCAGCCAATATGTAGATAAAAGAAGCAGTAACAAAAAGGCAACAAAAGCAAAGTATGAAACTAAAAACCCAATCAGCCTCAAAACAAATATAAGTAGAGGCTCCATGAAATCAGCCAATAAACACATAAAAAAAAAGCAATCCAACTAAAAAGGCAACAAAGCAAAGTAACAAAAGTTAAAAAACAACAAATTAACCTCATCATAATTTTCAAAAAGAGCTCCTTCAAACCAATCTTAATACAAATTAAAGAAAAATAAAGAAAGAGAATGCTAATAATGAAATAGATTCAAACCACAACAATCCTTAAAATAGAAGCAACAAAGAAAAATAAACAACTACAGGTTAAAAAAAGCATTAATAAAGGTGGGAATTTCATGTTTGAACTTTCATTTTCTACTTTTTCGGCCTGATTTTTCAATGAGCACTTTTAATAATAATCTCATGAGAAGCACTGTAATTATTAAAAAAATTATTATTTATTTCAAACCAAATTTCACAAGCAATACTTTGAATAGCTAACATGTAAAATATATTTTGAATTTTAAAACCAATGCTCTCGGCATGATAGAAAACTTGGAAAAAGTTAATGACAATAATAAAAATAACCCAATAGAAATACAATTCTTCAATAAGTTATGTGAGGAAAACATTCAAAAAATAAGTGCTTATGAGTTTCTAAATTATTAAGTGATGCAGAACAATATATGGTTATTTTTATCATGTTTTGTATCATGAAGAATTAAGAGGCGCAATAAGAATTGGTCAAAAATGAAAAAGAAGTTATGAGAATCAATTGAAAGTTGATACACATTCAAACTCTTATGTAAATGAAGTTGAATGTCTACTTACAAGAGCTGAAGTCAAAGAAACTGCTCAATTAAGAGCCCATTTATGGCCAATCTAAAAAAAATATCAAGAAGAAATATTTAAATTTGTATTACATTAATTATAATTTAATTTTAGTTTCTAGAAAGTTGATTTTTCAAATTTGGAGGCACTTATAACTTATCATAAAACATAATAAATTAGGAAGGTGATTAGCACCTTCTTCAATTAATGACCACCACAATTCCCTTCTAAATATTTAACCTTCCACCAACACATTCACATCACATCTTTAGACTTAAGAAAAAAAACATCAAAAATAAATTTTAATACTTTATCTAATCAATAGGCTGCCCACCTCCTTAATTAAGGCAAAGAAAGAAATTAAGACTAACATTGATACCACTATAATTAAGAATATCACCAATTCTAAGACCAAAATTAAAATTCTTCTAAGAAAATAAAATCAAATTAATAAAATAGTCTTTATATCAAACTAATCTATTCCAAACTCTAATGGGTAAATTTAATAAATAAATTAATAAACATTTTTATAAATATAAAAATCATTCTCTTTCCAAGGGCAACCAATACTTTTAATTAATAGTAAGGGTGTCATAAATATGAAGTAAACAATCATTTGTAATATTCAAATCTTGAGGAAATAACTAGTGGTCATTAACAAATACATCTTTAATTTTGATAATTTTAGGTAAAAAAAATCACTCAAAAGCCACATTACTATAAAGTTCAAATAAACATGATCATTTACTTCAAGGATCAAGGAAAAAAATATGATTACTATTAATATTAACTTAAAAAGTAAGACATCTTCTAACCTTATTAGAACCTTTAATAGGATCTTTACAAAAAAATAGAAAATTTAGAAACAAAATTAATCCAAGTAGTGTCATAATTATGCATGCTCCATTTGGCTTCGATAAAGTTAACGTCGAAATGCCTTCAAATAATTTTAGCTTTACAAATCAAATTGTTATTATCAAGAGAAGGAATACTAAAATATTCAAGAGCTTTAGAAAGAGAAGTACTTTTCCAAGAAATAATAGCCATTTTATTCTCATTATTATTACAAAAAAGAAAATTAACCATAAATGAAGTAGTTTCCTTTCTAATACATTTAGGAAGAGAAGTGAAACAAAACCGATAATAAATATAACTTCTAATATTGTAATTAGTTAATTGAAAATGGCCATTCATAAATAGAACTTTTTGCTTTGAGCTAGTCAACCATTTTTGAAGCTTATCAACAATAATATGCCAATTAATCATATAAAGCTTAGAACAATTTATAATAATATCAATGTGTTTCTAAGGTAGATGTTTGATATTTATACCATTAATGATACATAAAATATGCTTCAAAATATCAACAATAATTTTTGAATAACAAATCACAGACATAGAAAAATTAGCAGCAAAATTTGAAGCATGACTAAACATGTTCAAAATATTGGTAAGATAAAACATAATAGGAGAAGCAACATCTCACAAAAATGATATATTATAAGTATATATAAGATGATTACTTTTATTGAAATCATTTGCATGATATAATTATCCTGAATATATAATATTGAGGGAGAGCATCAATAACTACAACAAAAAGTTAAGGTGACAAAGGACAGCCTTGGCTCAAACTAGAAGAAGAAGAAAAATAACAATTCATTTCACCATCAATAATGACAGAGAAATAGACATTAGCCGTAAAAGCTTTACTCTATTTAATAAAACCAGTAGGAAAACCTGATCTAAACATTTTATCATAAAGATAATTTAAATTAAATTTATGAAAAGCTTTAAGAAAACTAATTTTATAATAAAATTTCTTTACATAATTAATAGTGTTAAACCTATAAAAAACTCATTTGCCAAATTGATATTATGAATAATATCTCTTCCATTGAAAGTAGGTTGAATATGATTAATTATATTGCACATAATAGCCTTAATTATGTCAGCTAATAACTTAACAATAACCTTATATAAGGTATTACATATAGAGATATGACAAAAATCATTTAAAGATTGAACAAATTTTGATTTTGGAATTAAAGTGATAGTAGTATGTGTAACTCTATTGGAATTACCATTATTAAAATTTATTTTATATCAAGAACATAATCATTCCCAACTATATCTAAGAGTCCTTACAAAACTTATAAGTGAAAGCATCATGACTTGGAAATTTACAATTCCTAATAGAATAAAAAATATTTTTAATTTCATCATTGGAGAAATCTTTTAATAAAGTTTCACAATCCAAAGAATAAATATAATTGATAACATGAAATTTATCAAAAATAAAAGAAGGAATATCAACATAATTATTGAGCAAAATTTTTTAAAAAAGAAACAACTTCATTAGTACTGTTTTGTTGATGTTGCAAGTAAACATCATTGAATAAAATTTCTTTAATAAAAGTAGAATTATTACTAATTTAAATTTTTTAGTAAAAAAGTTTACAACTTCTTCTTTAAAAATTCAATCACACTTAATCATTTGTTTTAACCATTTATAATTACAAGAAAGGGCATTATGGAGATTGTCTTGATTGATAGAGGCTTGATAAAGCAAATCAATGCAAAGATGAATAATATTCAAATTATTCAAAATAATTCCATGTTGATCCTTTAATTCATTAATATGGTTAGAAATGTAATTAAAAATGTTCCAACTATAATGCTTAAGAGATTCATAGACATTCTTCAGTTTATTGCAAAGAGAAAATAAATGATCACCTTTAACATGAATATTCTAACCTTCATGAATAATATCATAAAAATCAATACAATTACTCTAACAATTTTCATATAAAAATTTATGCTTTAAAAAATAAGAAGCTCGTGAAGATATAAAAAGTAAAGAATGATCAGAAGTGGAATTATCAAAAACTTTAAGAAAAGAATGATAAAATAAATCCACCTAAGAAGCATTACAAAAAGCCCTAAAAATAAGGCTTCTTATATGATTCTCTATTTGATTATTATACGCACTAAATTTATGACCTTTATTTTGTAGTTCAAAAATATTAGAATTGAGAAGACAATTATTAAATTCAGTTAGTTATGATGGAATATGAGGAATGCCATCTACTTTTTCACCAACAGTAAGAATATAATTAAAATCACCCAACAAATGATCATTAATATTACCGGGAAGATCAACAATAGGACTCCAAAGATCTTTTCTAACAATAGCGCTATTGTCAGCATATATGAAAGTAATAGAAAATTTAAAAGTTGAAGAGAAAGTAAAATGTCTGTCGGCACTATTTTTGGTGTGGGG